ATTTTGTTTGACAAAAAAACATCATATTCAAACTTGAATCTTTTCATTATGGTTTTTAAACAGAAATAGAGCTGAGCATAATATGATACAGTATATAATGTAGCATTTACCTACAAAGTATTTAATTTAAAGTGTAAAAACGAGTCTTTGGATGACATCTGTTGCTAAAGGGTGCTTGTTTGAATAAATGTAATCAAATCAATTAGTAATTATTTTATCTTTGTGATGTCTAAAATACATTTTATGTTTTAGGTGATATACTATGAAAATGCACATCATCAACATCATTATGATCATCATGATGACCATTGGGATGAACATGGTGGTGGTGGTGGCAGTGGCTGGAGCCTATGGGGTCGCAGTGGCCTAGAAGCACCGAGCACAACACCTATCTACGCTCCCTATCTTGAGAGGTCTTCTCATGATCTACCCTACTCTGCTCATGTGCCAGCGAAGCAATAACGAATATCAACAAGCTATTTAATTGAATTGTTTCAATCACATCCCTCCTCAGTCAATGATTTAGTTGACTAAATTACTTGGCATGAAATATGTTCGAAAGGATGCACATAATAGCTACCAAAATGTTTGCTTATATAAGTTAATACAAGCATAAGGACTAGACTGCTTGAATATGATAATTGCTGTTGCTAACTTTAAAACTTTAATTATTCCATAAGTTAATATATACAAAAAAAAGTATTCAAATTTTTTTGTACTTTTTTACAAATTCAGAAGAACCATATCAAAACCTGAACAATAGAAAGATACAACCATGAAGCGATCTCCCAATTATTTTCTGTATATCAAAATTTTAACCTAACATACAACAGTTATTAAAAGAATTAATAAAAAGTTCATAATCAACCAGTTTGGTCCTAATGAAAATCATAGTATCCTAGACCAATTAGATTTAACTATGTAACTTTTGATATTATGGATTGTATATATTTATTTATTATAAATTTATTTATTTATAATTTTATGACATTAATTTTTATCTACTGTTAATAAGTAACAATAATTAAAATTAATGAAGCCATAACTAGGCTTGATAGCTGCAATAACTACATTTTTCATTAATTAAATTAATGAATTAGTGTATTTATTGTGTTCATATCTATACTACATATGTTGAATATAGAGTGTAGATATCTTTATATGATTTATTGGATGTGTGCTGATTTCTATTTTATTATAAAACTTATACATTAAAGGAAAAGGCTCCATGGAGTTTTAGACTGAAACTTATAATGAATGAAGATTGAATTAATTTACTTTATTTATTTATACATATGTTTTTATCATAATTTTCAAACAACAGAGTTTGAAAATATATCATTTTTTTTTTTATTTACTTCTCATTTTTTTTTTAAATTAACATAATTATTAATGTTTCTAACTCAGGCATAATAGGTATAAGTTTTTTTTAATACCTATATACAATTAAATATCAATAACAAAAAAAAGAAAATCCAAAACATACAACGTTAGTAAATAAAATGGAAATGACAAACAGGTAATAGAGGTTTCAAGATGTTAATAATGTATGAAATGTAGAAACTAATATTTGCTCAATTTACTTCAAAGCTTTAAATCAAACATATAATAAATGGATTTAAGTCATGCAATGTGTTGATTGATCTTCTGTTTTAAAAATTAAGAAGTTTGCTCACTAATTTAGATATTAATTCAATATACATATCAAAACATCCATTCCAATACATTATGTGGTTTATTGAAAGCTATAAAGACATGATTTAAAACACTTTGTTAAATAAAGTACTTGTTCAAACCATTGAATAAATCCTACCACTCCAATATTGATTTCTAAATAAAGAATTTAATATTTATATTATTATTTTGTTTACCTCTTATCTTAAGTGAAGTACAAACAAATTTTACTATAACAATATTACTTGTAACACTTCTTACTTTATCACTTCATTATACAATTTTGGCTCACAAACTTACAGTGTAGGCAACTATAGAACTATGAAATAGAGAACTTATTATTTAAGTGTTTTTTTATTTTTTGCTGGGGGAGGGACAATAATTTTATTTTTTTATTTTTTACCCAGGTAATTTCATCTATATTAAATATGTTATACCAAATAATTTAATAAGGGGTCATTTCTATACTATTTTTATTTGCATTACTACTTAAGTGCTTGAGACAAAAATGGTCTTAACAAGTATTTGGATAAATGTAGAAAAGTGTATTTGTGCAAGGTAATAAAATCATTGGTTTATGTATTTGGTTCAGTAGGTTGGCTTTAATGTCTAATTAAAGTTAATTTTGACTTGTAAAGCTAAACTGCTGTAATTTCCATCACAAAAAAAGTCAAAATATTTAAATCATTTTCATTAATTATTCTGACACACCTTATGAAAGCATAATATTAACACAGTTTAACTCATCTAGAAAATGTTAATATTAATTTTTTTGCGAAATTCTTTAAATTGCATACAATTATCATCATCCTCTGCCTTTTGGAAATATAGATATTCGAAAAAGTAGCACATGCAACCTCCACCATTTCTCCTCATAATTCTTCATTCTGCTTACAATATTCATTTTCATTGAAGAAGGTTAAAATGATTCACTCCCACAAATTCCTTCTACCTATGAAAGTTTTGTGCAATGCTACTTTGGTTTATTGACTAGCTGAGAGAAATTGTTTTCTCTCATGACGTAAAGTAATTTGGACCTTATTGTATCAAAAGCAGTGCAGGTCATAAAACTCAGCAGTATCATAAATGGACAAGTGTCTTAAGGAAATTTCTTTAAACTTTTAGGTGTAAAAACTTAAATATTGATGTTATTATTTTTTTCTGGATTCATCTTTTAAAACTATTTCTCACCTTACCAAGACATATTTTAAATCCATGAAACATTTATCTAAATTCAAAAAAACTGAAAATTAAGAGAATAGTTTTGTTGTACCAGTAGCTGACAGAGATGAGAAAAAGGATGTAATTAAGCGAATTTGCATGTTCTTCACTTAAAGATTAACAAAAATTACGTTTAACTTATTATATAACTAACTTCTTGCATTTCCCAACTTAAATTCATCAATAAATGCTGGTCACTGTCAAGAACCTATTTGTTGCTTTATATTTAATCCAAATCATAAGCAATTTTTTTTAACGAGACAGTAGTGAATGGTTCCATTTTTCAGACTGTTATATTGAGTATATCTCTTTGAATTTATGAGAGTACAAGCCTGTAAACTACTGGCAAAAGTTCCCGTTATAAGGCTCCAGTAGCTAATACCCATTTTAATATCCAATTTCTTCATCAAGATAAGTTAAAAACAGATAAAACATAGTTTAAAAACACTCCAAAAAACAATCAAACAAAAATTTTGTGATAAAACTGAGTAGTTTTAGTTTAACAGAAAAAGGTAAACCTAAGGTATGTTGCTCTTATGACGGATGGTTGTTCTTGGACACTAAATGGACCATGGACCTTCCTAACTTGCCACTTATTATTTCAGTTGTGATTTCCAGCAAAACTAAAGAAAAGCTGACAAACATACAAGGAAAAATTATAGAAACTAAAAATATATATGAAAAACAGGTCTAGGGGGTCTTGAAGTTTTATCAATCCCATTTTTTGAGGAAGGTTTCAGGTATTGGTACACTGTCAGCTATTGGTGCTTTTACCCTTTTTGGAACACCAAAACAGTGGCATACGAGGTTAATGTCTTTCCATAAGTCATAGAGATTGGTACAAAATCTCCCATCTTAGAGTTCACTTTCACTAACAGAGATGGCCAGGAATCCAGGATGAAGCATATAAATTTTGTATTTTGTCGGTACAAATATTACACGCAATGACAGTCACGTTAACGTTTACTGTTAAAAGGACCAATTATGAGGTGTGATTGTCTTTATTCTGTTTAAAAATAGTTTTATTTACTACTGATTGATTAAATTTAAATAGGTAGGCCTGAAAATAAATAAGCTAAATATATTTTTGTTTTTTTATAATAAATGGAAACATTTAATTTAGTCATTTATGCACAGATAATGCATACTTTTTTGGCTGAGAAATTCATCATTTTAGTACAACCATTAACAAAGTCTAGAACAATTTAAATTGTGCCAAATACGCAGTATCAACATCGTAATTTCAATATTCAACCATCAGTCATACATCAACACTTTTCAAGTACTATATTTTTACATATTTAATAAAAAAAAAGAGGAAGGTGGTGGTCCAGGGTAGCAGTCATAAAGAGACTAGAATAGTGGAAAAACTATTTTATTTCAAGCCGTTTCCACCCTTTTCAATTTAATAAAATTAAATATCCTGTGCAACAAAGATGGTCCGTGATGAATTACTCCAATTTAAGTCCAAGTAGCCCTGTTCTTGAATACATCATTATCATCCATTCCAAAAAAATTCACTGCTGAATATTCCTGACATAGCTGTTCTAATACTGGCAATTCAGACATAAAGTCAATAAAAAAAAACGCTTCACTTTTACATTTAATATTCACAGTATTTTTAAGGATGACTCTGTGCTTAAAAATGTGGCTGATTCTTGATTTTGCTTCTTATAGACTACTTTGATAATTGTTCAGTAAAGAAAATAATCGTTTAGTAATACCAAACAAGCTCAACCACTAAGATGCTAGAATAATGAAAGTTTATTGAGCTAAACAATAGAGTTTATTTATTAAACTACGATATGAAAATCTTTTAAATCTATCACTTATGCCTTCAGTCATTAATCTGCCAAGTCTGATGTCTCTTTTCCTATGTACAACTAATTCTTTAATGTGGTTTTCTGAAACCTTATTTTAAAAATTAACTGATAAAATGGCTGCTTTTAGTGGTAAAAATTAACTGATGTCATATTTCTTTGGATCACTTTTAATAGTAAAAAAGGGTATTGTAGAAACACAATTAGTATTATTGTGATACTGATACTTGGTGCATCATATTACTAGAAAGCTTAAGACAAGTAAATTAAACAATCAACAAAACATAATGTATAATCTTTGATTTATTTGATTATTTATACAAAAACTACCTCTACAACGCAAAATAGAAAAACTAATTTCTAAACACTGAAAACAAACTTGGTAAAAGATTATTTCAAAATCAATATAAAATAGCTCATATTATCTAAAAGATAGTATACAACAAACTAATATGAATTATTTTTATTTGTTTATCAACAACTATTAACCTAAAATAAATTGTAGGGCTTGTATTAAAGCTAAAGTATTTTCCAATATTTATATTTCAATCATTTAACTGTTGTAATCAAAATATATTTATTATATAACATAACAACTATTTTATGGCTTAACAATAAATATACAGATCGACAAAGTTTTTCCATTATATACACTTTTATTACGTCAAATGATGAATATTTACATCTTCATAGTTATTTTTAATTTATAATCACTTTTTAAAGGCAGACTTAACTTATTTAATAAATCTGAAAAAAAATATATATGGTTCATTAGAAACGGAATAACTTTTTATGAACATTTTTTAACTTATTTTAGCAATATTTTTTATATTGAAAACTAACCTTCAACTTACATATCTCATATTATGTGGGTTATTTTTTTATTTTTTAAAGTAAAATTTGTATTACTTTTTTTTCAGAAAAATACATAAATTACTTTATACTTTTCTCTTTCTATTTAAGCATATGTTACACATCAAAACTGTAATATTATTTAGTTCAGTCTTACAAATGACAAAGAAGACTGCAACATTATCTCTGGTATAGCTTCTTCTATATCTTTTATTTTTCTCATTACTTCTGACATTTTGGTGGTAAGGTTGTGTAACTGTTTTCGAATCAATTTACCTCTCACATTACCTAAATCAATTCCTTTTTTAGTCATGTTCACAACCCTTTCTTCTAAAACGGACTCTTGGTGTTTACAGCCAACCCGTATCCGTCTTATTTCATCTTCATAAATAGATATCTTTCTATGAATATCGTCTAGATATGTAAGAGCTTGGCGTTCTTTTTCAGTTAATCTTGAATCGAGGCAAACATTTCTCATGATATTTTCCATCCGACACATTAAACTCATTTGTTTTTCATTTATTTCTTGATATCTGAAAAACAATATAAAATATATTACCATCAAAGGATAAAGTGAACAGACATTAATAATTAATAATCTAAGGACAATTTAATTTTTTTATTCAGTAAATCATATTTTTTACTTTCACTTACGTATATATATAATAAATACTAAGGGTAAGTATTGCGATCGTGAAAATTTTTGAATCTGAGTTTTCAACGGAAATACACTTTTTAGGGTACCCTGAGTCCAAATGACCAAGTCCCTGAAAAATGTCTGTGTGTCTGTGTGTATGTGAACACTCTAGCTCGAAAACGAAAAGTCGTACGAAACTGATATTATTTTTTGTTGCATTAAGATAACTGTGATGGATGAAACTATTTTGTTCTTCCTTTAGTTGATTCTAATGTTATACAGCTAAATAATTAATTTAAAGTATTATAATTCAAATGTTGTAAATAAATATTGCATATCATTAACTAAATAAATAATAGTATACAGTTTTTTTATTATTAATCAAATATTACAATGAAGCGGGATGGAATGAAATGGATAGATTTCCAGTATGAGCAATTTTTAAATATTTAGCTTATTGTGTAAAACTAAAAAATAATGGTTATGCACCAAAGAGTAAATGAAAAATTAATTTTATTCTTATTTAATTATTAAATATAAATAATTTAATTAATAATTAATATTAAAATTAATTTATTAGTTCCCTTAGAATAATGACGGAGTTCAGAAAATTTACACTTCAGTCTAGCATGTGGATATGATGTATAGAGAAGATACAGATATATACAAAAAATACAGAGAGAAAAATAAAAAGGTTCTTATCATGTATCTATTGGTGAGCAGTTGTATTTGTAGCAGATAGCCTAAAAATTCTTATAAGGTGGTGGAAGTTTGAATGTGTAGTAGGTAGAGGAAGAAGAGTTGTTTGAAGAAATTTGTGGATGTAGTTTGGCGTATGTAGAAAGGTAAGGAGTTCCAAAAGGAAGTAGCATGAATGACGAAGGATTTGCTGAAAGAAGTTGTTTTAAGGGAGGGAATCTATAGGTTGAGATCTTGTATTAAGAGAGTTGATAGAGGGGCATAGAGCAAGGAGTTCTAGGATGTAAGGAGGATTTTTGGTTCTGAGGACTTGGAAAAGGAAAACATTAAGAAGGAATTTACGTCAGGAAGTAGGATAAAGCCACTTTAACTCGGTGTATAAAGAGGAAACATGGGTACGCCTGGGAATCTTAAAGATGAATCTTATGAAGCAATTCATGAGTATTTTCAGTCTTGCTACCAGTCTTGATAGCCCTCCATAAACCCAGCAACCCTAGTCAAAGTGGGGGGAAATAAGGGATGTTAAAAGGAGCTGTCTGGTTGTTTTTGGAAAAGAATTACAAAATCATATGAATTGTTTAAGGATAGTTATGGATTTTCGGGTGATCTGGGAAATGTGGTTATTCCAAGAGATGTTCTGATCAAACATTACTCCAAGGTTTTTTACTGTTGGAGAGAAATGTACAGAGCTGTTATTGAGGTAAAGTAGAAGAGAGAAAGGAAGGGAACTAATGAGATGCCTGGAACCGATGGGAAAAATCTTACATTTATCTGCATTCAGCTTCAGTTCATTTTTTTCTGCCCGCCTGAGTTAATACAATATCCTCTTGCAGTATTCGGATAACCTCTAACATCTCAGAAGGTTGGAATGATAGGTAAATTTGGAAATCTTCTGCATATAAGTGATAGCGGGAGTGATAAATGGAGTCAGGAAGGTCGCTAATATAAACAGTTAAAAAGGTTGGAGAGTGTGAGGAGCTCTGAGGAATATCTCGAGACAATTGAAGGGATGAGAAAAGAGATTTGTTAGGAATAACAACTGTGGGGGCGATGATATAGAAAGGAGAGGAATCATTTTAGAACACTATTTGATATGGGCAGGCTTTGGAGTTTCAAAAGCAGGAACTTATGATTGACAGAATCAAGGGCTTTGGAGAAGTCAAAAAGGATCAGGATGGAGATTTTCTGTTTATCTATGGCAGATTGGAGGTTTTGAGTAATCTTTAACAAAGGAGATTGGGAATGAAAAGGATTGAGAAGACGTTTTGCTCAAGAAATCTATCCAACTGCGAATGAACCAATCTTTCTAGAGGCTTAGATAAATTGGATAAAATGGAAATCGGTTTAGAGTAAGTTGGAAGCTAATGAAAGAGCAGGAACTTTGTTCAACGGCGAGACAATGACTTTTTTCCAGACATTAAAAAAAATGGAATTTTGGAGGGAAAAATTGTAGATATGTAACAGTATAAGAAGTAAAGATGGAAGGCAGTTTGATGATTTTCAGAGGTATTTGGCCAGATCCATAGTCATTAATTGCCATAGTTTTTGATTTAAGAATTGTGGAAAATAATATTACACATATCTCATTTCTAAATTCACAGCTCAAATTATATATGAAAAGGGTGTACAGACTGCATACCTTCAATTGAAGTAGTTACATTCCATAAATTTGACGGAAAAATTACAAAAAATACATGGAAAAGTAATATCTCACTGATGAAAAGAAGAAATTATTGACAAACACAAACTATTATGGACTTAATCAGATAGCAGAAAAAATGGAGAGATTTAGCATAGTAAAGTTCAGTAAAAGTTGACAAACAAAAGGAAATAATGATATGGAAAAGTTACTTTTCTGTACAATCATTAGTACATTGAACATATTTAGGGTGAACACACCACTTATAGACAGGAGGCCCAGAGATGGAGAAGTTGAACTTTAAATATAAATAATAAGCTTCCTTGTTGAATTAAAGGTTCCAGTTTTTTCTAGATTGAAGAACAATGCCCTCTATTGACCACTATATGAACAAAGTTTCCATAAGAAAATTTTAAAATGTCTATCAATGTTTCTATAGCGCTCTTGAGATCAGTATGTTTCATACCTTCCTACTAAGTTTTGCTAAGAGTAAGTTAAAACATTTATGTTATCTTTTCTTTATAGTTAAATAAAAATTTAGAATTTTTCTGAGGTATGTCCATTACTGGTACCAACTCCCTGTCCATTATTACTAGAACAATTAAAGTACAGGATGTCCATCACCAATGCAAAAAGATGTTTTTTGTTAATTGCAGATTATACCTGCATAACTGAATATTTTTTCAATTTTAAAGCGCTTAACATAAAAAGAAGGCTCTAGAGATTCTAAATGTCCAATGGAGAAGTTTATAACTATAATAATCATGGCAGCATGAGCCTAAAAAGACAAAAATATTTTTAGCTATGCCCATCAAGGGTACGTGATTCCTTAACCTAGTCTTTTTCTGTACTTTCAAATCAACAATAAAATATGTACGTACATAATTAATAAGTCATAAAACATTTTTTTGTATTTCTAATAAAATTTCCCTTGGAAATACTCATGCCTTGGATTAACTGAACAGTGTCTCAGTCGGGGCTGGTTAACAGAGATTGTACTTAAAGCAGTTTAACAAATTACTCTATTCACAGATTATTCATGTCAAAGCAAATAAATGTAATTTTTCATAATAACTACTTCTTAAATGCAACACCCTGGAAAGTAGTTTTCAGCAAATGTTTTTTCCTTACTATTACAACCTGTTAATTTTTGCTGATTACAAATTATCAGTACTAGTTAATGAGTGTCACATTTAGTTGACTGGTGGGGAGATTGAAGATCACATCAGGAACACTGAACACAGAATTCTGAAGACTATAGACGTTACCGATCTTAGTAAGGCCCCAACCTCAACGGACAAGGGCCTGTTAATGTTTGTATATAGCCTAGGTAACCACATTTTAAAATTGGCAAAGCAGAACACGATTGACCATTGGGGAGGGAGGTAGTTCATTAAAAATTTGGTTCATGAAGTTCAAATTTGTTAAATAATTAATTTTTCATAATGATGCAAAACACAAGTTGCCGGATAACCAGATATAAAATAATTACGAGTACATGTCCTCGTTCCGGATGGCTTTTAATCTATCCACCCTCACCTCTGGCCCGGGAAAATCCCTGTATCGCCTTAAAGGAGACGAAGGGAAGGACAAAAAAAAACATGCTCATCAGGTGAAATACTATTCAGCTGAAATAAGGTTGAGAACTTAGTTCTAAGGGCATATTTTGGAGAGCGAATAATTCGATAATGCATTTGACATCTAATTTATTAATTAGATAACACAGGTTTTAAGATATATATTTTGTGCTAGCAGTACACAATCATGTAGCTCTTTTTCAAAATGCTAAAAGCTTATTGAAAGTGAACCTCATTTCGGCATAGTAAATTAATTAATTATGCCCAAAATTTAACCTTTTCCTCATTAATATATTTTTTAAATAACAATAGCTCTTTAAGACGGTCATTTTTGGATTGTTTATTATCGTCAAGTCCATGCAATGTCCGATCTAATTCTAACAACTGATCAACAATGCAAACTTAACTAAGCAGTTCTCGATAATCAGTTCTTAACAATTATTCGTTATTATTAAAGTTTGCCAAACAAAAATAATATAAAACTCAAATCCTGGTGAAACAACTATATGGCCACCAAAAATTATATATTCTCTTTCCGTTTTCTTGCCACTCCCTAACTTGTCGGGCATTTTTTTCGAAAATAGGGAATTTTTGAAAATGCTGCGGGATGCATGACAAGTTGTTAAAAATCGGGACTGTCCCTCCAAAATGGGACGTCTGTTCACCTTATATATAGCCCACTTGTGAACATGGTTGTCAACATTTGGGTATTTTCGTGATTCCATCTAAAGTATTATCTGTGTGATCTTTTCAATGAGATGTGTCACGGTTATTTTCAACTACTACCCAAACAGATAATTGACCTTTGGAAATCCTTACTTATGTAAAGAAAAAGAAACTGCTTTACAAGTGTTGCTTGACTTTGGCGGATGGCCACAAGATATCATGACTACACTATAAATATAAATATAATTCCTAGAATGGCCGACAGTCTTCTCTGACCAAATCATCTGGTAAGGGCCTGGACCAAAAAGAACAATGATGTTTGTTTATTCCTTTTAAGTGAGCATTAGTCATAAGCAGCAATGTAATTAAATAGATTTAGTGAGAATTAGAATTAAGGCTCCAATTTATACTGAAAAGGAACAGTTGGGAGTTTTGAAAATCGTGATGAAATAAAGGGAGGTTGTGATGCACCAACATCAAATCAACACTCAGCCATTTTCGGAATTCCATTTGTACTGTGATCATATCTTGTGCCCACCCATCAAAGTTGAACAACTTTCCCTGAGTACTACTGAGAAAAACATATATACCTCTGCGCTATTTGAACAGCTGTAGTAAATAGCTTTTCTTTTTCTTCACCAAGAGTTATAACATCTTTCTGTTGCTGAAGTAATGCAGCCATTAATGTGGTTGATTTTGATTCCAACTTGTTTGCCACTTTTTCATGGGCTTCCATAGTAGCCTTGTACTGCAGTTTCATTTTATAAATTACATTATATATATCTTTAGGATTTGAATCTGGTAATTTCATAACTGGACCTGGGCCGTGCTCTTTAAGAATATTCTGAATATGCAGTAAAAATCCATCATCTTCATGATTACGATCAATTGAGGTTTCCAAATTCTGCATGGAATGTAAAATATGAGGAGTTATTTTAATATTTATAAGATCTTGATTGTTAAGTAAAACTAGTAAGCTTGATGACAAATCTACAAATGCACAACCTAACAATGGTAGAGCTGTCAGAGATGATCCTTTGTTAACACCGGTACAGAGTAAATATTCCACAAGACTTTCACTAGTATAGGGCGAAAAGTCAACTTCAGGGCTTTCTAAAAACTCATAAAGCTTGGTAACGAGAGGCAAAGTAATAGAATGAATTCCAGCTTTGTGAACAGAAAAATACATGGACTTTTCAACAGGATTTTTCATTAAATGAATAGGACATGATACTAATTCATCGTCATCTCCCAAAGATATTCCAACTTCTAATTCTATACACTCAACAACGCATAAGGATTTTTCAGAATCAGATTTAAAACTATCATTATTCAGATAAATGCAATTATAAATTGTTCCAACACACGTAGAAAATGCTACAATAGGAGGTAATGTATGTAGTACTAAAATGGAACTAGCATCTGATCCGTAGTTATCATCTGAACTTGGAAACATACGTAATGGCCCTTGGGCTGGAATTCTTTCTCTATCATCTTCAATTGCTGTTTCTACACAATAAATATCACCATTGCCCCAGAGCACCATGATTGGCCATTTTATTTTAGAAGCATCATCAACAACAGGTGGTGGGCCAACATCGAAATCTATAGGTGTATCACCCAATGAAATTTTGGAAGGAATATTTGTGTGAGTACTAAGTTTACTTTTATGTGATAAAATACATTTCCATAAAACTTCTCCATTAGAAACGTCATACAACCGCAAGCATTCATCAGATGTAAGAACAATTAAATGAGAATCAGAAGGAGACCCAGGATGCCACTTAGCCTGCCGAAGGGTTTGTTGTTCTCCAAAAAACAGCCTTTCTCCAATATTGGTGCATTTCACTTTCAAAGATTTATGTATAGTAGACCACCTTTCTGGTAAATCCAAAACGGCTATACCAGAATTGCCATCAGTATTAGCGGTCAAAGCTAAAAGAGTGCTTGAAAAATTTAACAACAATCTTTCAGGTGAGAATGAAATACCTTGAATAGGGTGTAGCACTACTTGAGTATTCAAATCAGAATCACGAATAGATTGTTTAATATTAACGGCGTGAACACAAGCATCAAAACTATTCCAGATATATAATATGTCTTGGCCATAGGCTATAAGATCCATACATTTCGTTGATTCTGCACATATTTTGTCTCGCAGTTCATTAATAAATGCATGATTACACAAACTGGAAACTTCAATCACTGACATTTTATAATTTCAGTAAAAATCATAATATGAAATAAGAAGGTTTCTATAAGGTTATGTGAGATATAAACAAAGATGGGAGACAGCCGTTAATGATAAGGGATTGCAAAAGTGCTGAATAGAATATTTATCTGTTATTAGAATGAAATTATATATTTTAAGTTATATGTTCGCTAATTTAATTAAAATATTTTTTTCGAAATCATTCATGAGATTTATTTGTTTATTTTTTCTATTTATTTTATATTTGTATCAACAATAGACTCCCATATATTTATTTTATTAAACGGCATGTATTTATAGTTAAGTGTGATATATAATATGTTCTAATATTATACCTAGTATAAGTTACATAATTTTATCAAGATTATATTACCTATTACTATACAATTAGTGCTACATTATTGCCAATAATCTTAATAACGTTTATTTATTAATACAGCTTGTAAAAATGTATAATTTTTATACATAAACATTATTATTATTATAAACTATTTTTTTATTATTTTAAATAAGTTGTTAGAAATTATATCCAGAAATCCAATCCCGCCAAAACTATTCAGTGATGTTAAGCCGACGCTGTTATTAGAAAGAACCTAGTGCGGATTTAGATAAATTTGCTTCTGTAGTTTGGATGACAAGGTATTTATAAACTTTTCAAGTGCACCATATAAATAGAATAATTTTGCACTAATTGATTTTGTGTCAATTTTATACTGGTTTAGATATATATTATAGACTATAGAATTTGATTTAAAGATACACAATTTAGTACATAGTACATAGTATTTCTTAGTAATAATTTGACTGACCACAATTTCCTGATATCACAAATGGATAATTCATCAATATTTCATGCGATTTAAGATTATTAAATGTTACTGAATGACTTTTTTGCAATAAACTGACTGATATATTCTATTTTTTATAACTGATATTCATAGTTTTGCCTTTTTTATTTAATCTCCTCCTTTTCTACCACATAGAAGTGTGAGGATCACTTCGAAAAAGCTCGATCCAGAAATCTCTGTCCTGAACCATCTCTGTACTCACATTCTCCAGCCTGATGGAAAGGTTCGACCAGGTTTTATATTTTACCTTCTAATTTTTATTAATCTAAACATTACATATATTAAATAATAAATACGTTATATCTAAAAACTTTATAATATCCTTTTTGTTTACATTTCATCCACAGGCGGATTTACGGGGAGGGGAGGGGGGCTTTCGAGCTGAAGCTCCCCCCCCCCAAAAACGGTAAAATATAACCATGTTTTATAGAAAAAAATATATCTCTTATAGTATTATTGTTCGTATAATTAAATTTAATAGCACTTCAAGAATCACTTAAACGCAATTTCATATAGGTAGTTCATTTCTTTCTTCTTTTTTTTTTCAAATTTATTATCGTTATATATATATATACATATATATATATATATATATATATATATATATATATATATATATATATATATATGAAAACAAATCTTTCGGGCTGAAGCCCCCTCCCCTCCCAAAAATTAAATCCTGGATCCGCGAGTGATTTCATCTATTGGTAATGCTTGGGTTTCAGTGATGAATTTAATATTTTAACGGGTGACCGAGAAAATTTGTCCTTTGATTTATCTTCAGCCTTTTCTTTCAAAGACATCCCACACGGTGTCCATCCCCCATTCGCAGATCGATTGCGTATAAACCTCCTCCTGCTAAGAAGTGTTATTACTCTTAAAAACAGGGCAAGCCAAAATAGATTAAATAAAAGTAACATTTAGGTATCAATAAAATAGTTACATACCTAATACTAGGCCCTAGCCTAGCCAACTAATCGACTTTTCTTAATATATTTTAGTTTACACGTTTTATCCATTCATATATTATATCATATTTATTATTAATTTTATTTATTTTTTTTACCTGAAATACCATAGTCCAGCAACCTGATAAACCGTAGATAACGAGTTCAAACCGCCGGGGACTTTTAATACTGGCGTTAATCCTCCGCCATCTTTCCTGGCTCGGGAAAACCCCGTATAGCCAAATAGAGCAGGAAGAGGAGAAAAATAAAAGAAATTGATATCCAGCTATCCATAGAAAATAGCTCCTCATAACGTTATTTCGCCTCCATTGTATAGCTTTTTTTTTTTAATTTTTCATATCTTGAAATTTTGATTGCTAAGGGATGTTGTAGATTAATTTATTTTTCTTGGTCGATTACAAACGTTCATTAGTTAACATAATAATCCATTTCATATCTTTTTTTCAAAGGTTTCGATGATTCGGAAACACTTCCAATATATTTTTATCTTCATGAGTGGCTGAGATACGGGTATAATAAACTCCTAATCGGATGGTAATGTCCAATTCTGAAGATCATCCTGAAGTAACCTATGTCTTTTGTGCAAGGTCTCTAAACTATCGACCCAGTATCCAAACGAATCCCAGTATCCAAATTTTTTTTTTTTGTGAATATATACATATAAAAAAAATATTACTGAAAATGATTTGTCATAATTTTTTTTTTTTAAATGCTTTCTTCAGGCTTCTATTTGTTAATGTGATTCATTGAAAAAAAAAAATCATGGACATTAATTATATAGTTATAATTATACTAATGGAAAGTGGGGATAAAGTATGACTTATTATTGTTGTATTTAATAATGTGTATTTTTATATTATTTTATAAAAAAAACAATATTCCATATTTCAATGATTTTTCTTCATTTTATGTATATTGTTAGTGCATTTAATGTATTATATTTGCATAAGAAGCATGTGAAAAACTAAGAAAAAACGATGTTTTCATTTTTAAGAAACTTCTATCATTATTATCAAATCAGTTTATAATCATCAGGTATAAATTGGGTTTATGAGATATTAATAGGATTTCAGTTTATTTTAAAGCTTGGTACCTACTTCGAGCAAATTAGCTATATACTCGACATTTTTTTTTTTTTTTTTATTTAGCTCTGGAATAGTCTTATTGTAGATACCTAGATTAATTTTTGCTTTTACTTATCTATATATAAAATATATAGTACTGAATGCTGCTCGCGATTTCCTAAGCCTAGTCTTCAACTTAATTTGATAATATATATAGTAAATGAGTTTTATTCCACTGAAAGTGTGAAAGAATTTGTTTTTTTAATTATTTTGATCGTATTGTGATTGATAATGTAATGTCACCGGAAACAACCAATATTGAAATTCCAATGGCATTTTTGTCTAAATAATCTATAGGAAAGCACCAGAACAACTCAAAATCTATTTTAACATTTTTATGGCGTTTATCCCATGCTACAGTTCCCAGTAGCTAATAATTAACAAAAATCAATCAAAGCTCCTTAATTAAGAAAACATTCATTTTATTAGCAAACAAAACGTATAATAATAATAATAATAAAAAGGCTTAGCGAACCCGAAGGTTCGATGCCGACACCACCAATCGCTTATTGCACACCTCCATCTATCGTTCGCCGTCCAAACCCAGTCCCTTCAGATCGGCTTTAATGCAATCTTCCCACCTTCGCTTCGGTCTACCCCTCGGACGCTTACCATTCGGCACAGCAAATATTAACCTTTTAGGAATTCTCTCGTTACTAAGCCCAACAACTTTACAAGCCCATTTGATTCGCCGCGATGAAATTACCTCAATTATATTACCCGGATACAGTTCACGCAATTCGGCGTTGTGTAACCGTCTGAACTCTCCGGTTAACTCATCCTTCTTCGGTCCGAATATTCTACGCAATACTTTATTTTCAAAAACCTTAAGACGCTGCTCATCCCTTAATGTAAGCGGCCAAGTTTCGCATCCATAAAGAACTGTAGGCAAGATAATTGTTTTATAGATTCTAATTTTTAAGTTTCGGGACAAGAGGCGCGAACTAAGTAGTTTTGTCACAGAAAAATAACAAGCATTTCCCGCCTTCAGTCTAACCTTAATTTCTTCTTCAATTTCGTTTTTTCTAGTTATCGTAGAACCTAGATACCTAAACTTATCTACCTGTTCAAACATATTACCATCTATATCGATATCACCAGTAGTATCGCCATTTTTGCAGCTAACCATATATTTTGTTTTATCCACGTTTATTTCGAGTCCTAGTTCTTTACCGGCTTTCATTAACGTTGTCGTATTTAGTTTTATAGTTTCAACGTCTTCGCTTAACAGTACCAGATCATCCGCATAGCTCAGTACGAAACAAAACGTATATGTCAAAGAAAATATTATTTAAATTATTCATACACATTTTTGAATCCGAGTTTTCAATGGATTGCCAGTGAAAAATATGTATTTCATATTTTATGGTCCATCAAACCAAATAACCAATTTTCGTAAAGTGCTTCTGTATACAATGGCCAGCAAAAGTTTTCATATACTCTTAAGGAAAAAAAAAACAAAAACAATTCAGTACTATTGTGTTTTTGTTTAAATGTTTAAGTATGACTTCAATACCGTTTTTACAAATTTTATAAAAAATATTGGGAGTGGGGTAGCTCAGTGGTAGGGCACTGAGCTTCCAATGCAAAGGTCCCAGGTTCGAACCCCGGCTCATGGCAGAAAATTTATTTATCTGTTTCATTGGCCGTGGGGCGACTCTGGGTTGAGAGTCCCTCCTGGGGCACACCCAGCCTCTGTAAAGTGGGCACCCTTAATTAAATAATTAATTAAGGGGGAAAACCTGGCGGTTGAGCGTGATCTCGGTCAAATCACCTCCTTGCACAACCGTTGACCTAGAAACAGTACTTTCCCTAAATAGTACTGAACCCCAGACCCTTCATGGGTTGTAGTGGTACAGGTTATAAAAAATATTTGCCTATCAATAAACACACATATTTTAGCCTCAACCTCTCCACACACGGGAGTCGCTGTATGTGCCTTTCAGTTGGCAGAATGACTAACTCCAATTTTAGCATTTTTCATTATTAATTTTAGTGATATTTTTAGCGGAAAAATTTAAACCTTTATTCACAGTTCTATATTTCAACACTGCACTAACCAACTGTAGAGCAATTTACTCACTGTCTGTATAGATATTATAAATTTTCTAAATAGAAATGTCATTAAAATGACTTTACTAAA